TCCTTTTTTATATTTACATTAGTACATTGTGTTAAAGAATCATCTGTATATTTTGAATCTTCTGTAGTTTTATTCAATTTACATATATTGGTACCTTGTGCAATTTTTTCAGAATCTTTATTTTTCATTTGTTGTATAGAAATAGTGCTTGGACTTTGAGTTCTTACACTTATATTTGAATTAGTTATACTTTCTATACCTTCAGATTCTTTAGAATTTATTATATACATTTTGCCATCTATTTTACTTGTTGAAGGTTTTATTTTTTCAGATTTTTTATTTTGTTCCTTAAAAAATATATTTCCTGTTTTTCCTTGAGACTGACATGTTATTTTATGTTGTTTAACTTGCCTATTTTCAGACGAAAATATGTATTTTTGATCATCCATTTGTTTTAACATATGTAAATCATTTTTATTTTTATAATCAAAATTTTCAAATATGTTTCTAGATTCCCTAATTGTGACTTTATCTGATAACTTTGAAGATCGTTCGGAAAGTGATTCATTACTATAAGATCTGTTCTTAGATTCTAGAGAAGTATCTCTTGATTTTAAAGATTTAGTGTTAAAAGATCTGTGTTTCTTATCATTAACTTTTCTAGCAGTTGATGTTGCAAAATTTTTAGTCTTTGATTTTGATGGAACAAAATCACTTTCCCTTGGCATATGAAATCTATCATTTTTTAGTTTTGAAACTATTACGTTTTCACTCATATTGTTAGAAAAATCTTTTCTAGAAGTATATCTAGGACTTCTGGATCTTCTATAAAAATCTTGTGTTTCATCCTGTTTGGAAAATAAAGATTCATCTTTTCTAATTCTTTTTCTATTTTCTTTTTCTCTGGAATTTTCTCTGACATATTCTTTTTTCTTTGATAAATTTGAAGATATAGAAATATTTGGCACCTTCAATGGTTCTATTTCACTAGTAATAGTTGATGAAACATCTGATGTTGAGAAATCTAATCTTCTTTGAACTCGCTCAAAATTTCTTGTTTTTTTTTCTCCTCTTTCATGAATAAATTCCTTTGAAGGTGTTTCAAATTTTGGAGATATTGATTCTTTGGATGCACAATTTTCTCTGTTCGAAAAATCTAATTTCTTTGCAGAAATTTTCAAATCTGGAACTTTCAGTGGTCTTATAAAATCCATTTTATGTACAATCTCATGCAAATTCTGTGTACTATCAGACTTTATTATTCTTGAAGGTTTAATTGCATTTTTGTTATTTGATTCTTGTGTTTTTATACAAACTTCAGAACCATCATTTAATATAAACTTTCGTTTCACAGCACTTATAAATGTGAAAGGATATGGTTGAATAGGTTGATATGATAATTTTTCTAAATTTTTTAAGTCAAATTCAATTGGAAAATTAGATGATTTGTCTTTAAAGATTTGGTTGGTAATGTAATCTTGTTGCTGTTAAAATTATATTTTATTAGATTATACATAAATAATATAAAAAAATAATTAATATTATTTTTATTAATACAAAATTATATAATATAAAAATATATAATATAAAAATAATATATAATATATATTAATAATATATAAAATATATAATATAAAAATAATAAGGTAATTAAATAAAAAAGATTAACTCACTGCAGATGCTTCAGCACGTTGAACAATAACATCAGGATCACAAAAAAAGACATATTTCTTTTTTACATTAATATCTTCTTTTTTAGAATTACCACTCATATTTTTATATATACAGCATATCAATAAATTTATATTTGGTTATTGTTACTTGTTTGTCCATGCTTGAAAATATATCATATAATATATATCATAATGATAAATATACTTTATATATATTGAATAAAAAATTACATAAATATTATTTTAAAAATTAAAAAATATTTCATAGAATCAAAAATAAATTAAATAATTACTGCATGAAATAAATTATTTTGCATTTTTAATATATAAAATTTAAAAATAGTAAAATCAATATATAATCATGAACTTATTTAAACTAATATTTTAAAATAATAATATTAATATATAATTTAGTTATAAGTTTAATCCATAAATAAACTTACATTTAAATATTTAATACATTTACCATTAAACACAGATAAAATAACTAATTTGAAAAAATACTGGATAAAATTTGTATTTATAACCTAATTTAAGAAATTACGTTTTATAAAATCAATTTTTTAAACGTTTAATAAAGAATAATAAGAACGTTTTAAAATATTCAGATTAAAATATTCGGATTTTTATATATTATATATTATTCCAAATATTTCCATAATATTGAATGCAATAAATTATCACAATCATTTGTAAACGACAATCACGTGGTACTTTGCGATTTCCTACTTGCATAGAATTGAAAACATGGCAACGACAAAATGTGAATAATCGATAACAGTAATTTGCAAACATGACATATGCTAACAATATAATAAAGATAATTATTTGTGATAACAAATATAATATTTCATAAAAATTGTATACTGCGATGTTTCACAAAAATAATATCAAATGAAGAAAACAATAATCATTGATTATATTAAACAAAACTATTAAATAACTTCTTTCTTTGTCTCTCTCTTCGAACATCTTAACTTTTTGCAATCAGTCTTGGTAACATTGACGCTTATAACATGAAGTTGTATCGTGAATATAAAATATATTAGAATGAGGATTAAGAAGGAATTTTTATTTAAAAGTAAAAATATTTTAAGAAATATAATTAAAAAATTCCTAAATATATTAAGAAAATAAATAAATATTATAAATTTTATTTTGAAAAAAAAATTATAAAAAAAAATAATAAATTAAATAATACTATACTAATACTAAATAATAAATGAAGAAAAAAATAAAAAATTGATAACATTTATTTAAAAATATATAAAAAACAACTTTTTTAAATAAATAAAAACTTTAAATATTATTTCGGAAAACATAATAATGATTAATTGAAATAAAATTTCATGAATTTTATAAGAGTATAAAATAAATTCAAATATAAATTTTCAATTCATATATTTAAAAGATTTTAATTATACGTATTTAATATGTATGATAGATAGATTAATAATATTTTACTCAACTAAGAATTAATAAATGTGAAATGTGAAATTAAGTAAATTAATTCTTTTATTTTTTATTTTTTTTTATTGGATCAAGTTTTTATTTAAATTTCATTATAATTAATAATTTCACTATTAGAATATATTATATTTTTTAAAAAAAAGCGTTTAAAACTATATAAATGGAGAATCTATATTTAATATTTATATTTTTTACATTAAAAATTAAAACACATTGTAATTTTGAAAGAAAAATGATGAAAATATTTTATATAAATAAAAATTTAATTGATAATTTCCTTATGGTTATTATCGCGCTAAAAATAAGTATAAATAAAAGTGGATAAAACAAAAATAAAGATAAAATAAAATTCGAGAATATTCAGAATATATCTATTGAATAAATGAAACATAAAAAGAATAATTAATCATACAAGAGAGATAAAAATAAAAAAGTAAAAATTGGTCGTCAATCCCATGTCTAAAATGTCAAAAACATCTTTTTAAAAGTAGAATAACATAGAAGAATTAAAAATCAGTGTCATCTTTTGAATATTTTTTAAAATATATTTTTATAAATAATATAAGCATAAACTAGATATAAATCTTATCTTTAGTTCATGATTTTATTTTTATATAGTAGTATAAAAATTATTTCATGTTATTTCATGTAGTTTTTTTAATAGTTTATTTCAATTAGTACATAGTTACTTCATTTTTTTTATTTTAAAAAAAATATTCTATAAATATCTTATATATATTTATCTCTTAGAATAAAAACTATTATTTTTTTACTGTCAACTGAAGTAAATAAATTTAATAGTTGCTATAAAAAAGTATTGGATCATGTAAATCATTAGTAGGAAATTATTGAATTTGATATTTCTAAAGAAGATAATAAAGAGATAGTGCAATGATAAATTCTCATCCTTTGTTTTATTATTTGATTTATCCTTATCCTTCTTTTATTATTTGATTTCTTTGTTTATATTTGCATAATTTATTTTATTTTTTTATTCAAGATACTTAAGATATAATATAATTTGTTTATTAACAGGAATTAAAATATCTATGAATTCATATGAAATATATAAATAAATAAATATATATATATATATTTGAAAGGATATTAAAAAAAATCATTTTTAATAATTTTTTTAACTTCAACTTTTTTTAACTTTATCATTTTTTATTGAATTGAATAAAACTCCTATATTCATTATTATAAACAAGATAATTTTTATATTTCTTCTAAGACGAAGTTATAGATTTTTATTTTTGATGAATCAGACATCTACTTTATAATGAAGTTATTAATTTTCCTTTTTGAAAATATGTATTAGTTATTATATAACTAATATTAATTAATCAACAATAATTATTGTTAAAAAAATTAATTAAAATTAATTCAAGAAATTAATCTAGATCACTTCTTCTCATTACTATTTCATTAAATAATCTTAGATAATTAATTATTTTACAGATTTTTATTATTTTAAAATATATATTGTTTATTTATATTATATTATTTATTATATTATATTATATTATATTATATTATTTATTATTTATAATTTCCGCCGAAATAAACATCAAAATCCTATGACAATCAAATTCTGCGTTTTTGATAATGTGAATGAATAATAAAAATAGTAATAGAGTTCTAATATCATAAGAATTTGAGACAAAAATATATTATTGCATAATTTGGTTTATTCTTATATCTAATTTAATGTAGATCAACTACTTTGTTAGTGAAATATAATAATATTATATATTATTATATATATATTATAGTCATTTTATATATATTTTTATGTTTTTAAATCTATTTTTATTATCTATTATTATTATTATTATTATCTATTATCTATAATCTATTATTATTATTAAACTTCATTTGTGTCAATTTTATATATATCATATGTATCAAGAATGATAACAAGAAATTCGTAATAATCGAACTATGTGATATAAAAATATATATATAATGTCTAATTTTTATTTAGTTGGTGATCAATCCTTCAATCAATGTGAACGATAATTTAGACATGGGATACAAAGTTCTACGATATGGTAGGTCTATTTTATACTTTATTTATGCTTACAGTTAATTCCTTGACGTGTGATCTAGAATACTTGTATATTTGAGTATCTAAAGAAAGAAAAAGATTATCTATTATTAATTATTAATCATGGTTTTATTATTACGAAATTGGATTTTAAGCCGAAGGAAATTGTTTATGCAAGAAGTTGTATTATTCAGAATTTCTATGTATCATAAATGTAGCAACATCAAGGTTAGAAATTTATATTTTATTTTAAAATAATATAATTATCAATATATAGTATAATTTTGAAAAATTAATATTCTAATTATTTATTTTTCTAAATATGTATTATATATATAAAATATGTATACTTTAAAATGTATTTTATTTTGTAGAACATAACAAGAGAAAATAATAGATGTATTCAAAAATATACGCCATTTTTGCAAATAAGACATTTTTCTGATAAAAATAATAAAGAAGATAAAGAACTAATATATATAGGAACCATGAAAACTAAAGTCATTGGTCTTAAAGTATTGTCTTTACTGACAACAGCAATATCAGCAATTTTTCAACCATATGTATTTATGAAATTCATACAAGAAGATAATCTAACAACTGCAATAGCAATTTTGACATTGTTCAATTTAATTACTATAGGAAATCCTTTTTTCATACATTTTGCAACAAAAAGATATGCAGTTGAAATGCATTATTATCCTAAAGAAGAAAAATATAGTGCTACAGTATATACATTATTTCTCAAGCGTAAAACGGTATTTATATCTTTAATATTACTATTATTCATTAATATAATTATACAATCTAATTATTTATATTGCAGATAAAATTTACTCCAAATGATGTAACTGAAAGTAAATATAATTCTACATTACCATTGTTAACTTGCTATGTAAAAAATAAACCCTTATTTTTTTTGGAACAAAATTTTATAAATCGTAAACACTATTTTATTATAATGAATTATAATAAACCCATAGATTTTCAAATGAAATCATTAAATGTAAATGCAATCAATCAATCTCCAATTGTTAATACAAGTCAAATAGAAGTTGTTAATACAACTCAAATAGAAAATAAAAATGAAAATTTGAGAGAAAAAAAATATTAATGATATAATCTTCTTTAATGACATTAATCTTCTTTAGTGACATAATCTATGAATAAAACATGTTAAATAATTTAACTTGTATAGTTTTATTTATTACATGGCATTTTAGTCTATAGTTTTTATACATTATTTAAAAGCGGTATATAAGTTGCTAGGTACAAAATATATACATCATTACAAAGAGACTGTATACTGAAAAATATAATATCAAAATATTACATATACATAAGATTTTTTAAGTGTTGAATTTGCAGAATATTACAAATCCCTAGTCAATATTTATAATTTTCATTTGTTCATTCCTTTAATGACATAATCTACGAATAAAACATATTAAATAATAAACATGAAAAAAATAATATATATAATCCTAATGTATGTAAATTTAGAGAAATACATTAAAAATGATATAATATTGCAATTTAATTAAACTGTCAAATGTTTTTTAAATATAGCCTCCATATGTAATAATAGTTTTAAAAGTAGTACAATATAATTTCGTAACCGTGTAAAAACGGCGGGTACGTTTTATTAAAGAGATCACAGATTATAATTATACGCTTTGACATTATTTCAAAGGTATAAAAGAAATATTTACGACGAGTAAATTGTGCAATTATTGTACATTAAGCTGGGAGCAAATCGAAATCATCTGAAACATGTACCATTGGAACATGAATATCTTCTATTTGAGGTGTTGCTTTAAATTCACATAATCCAACTTCTTTTAATTTCCATTCCCAATCCATTCTTTGTACAGCATGTAATGATTCAGCTTCATTGTGATGCCTTAGTAACATTGCTTCCTAAAATAATATAATTTTTTTTCTTAATATTTTATTCTTATTTTTAAAATATATATATTATTAAGATATTATTAAGATAATATACAATTTATATTATTTTTTAGATAAATACAATAAATAATAATATTAACATTTAAATACAAAAAATAATATTAACATTTATTAATGTATTACATTTTTTAAACTGACAAACATGAAAAAATGCTTATCAATTGGTTTTTATATAATAATTTAATTTAACCTGAATAATTAAAGACAAAGTATGAATTTACAAGTATCTACATAATAATTCAGGTATAAATATACTATAATAATCCTTATAATTTTTACCTTAATCTTTTCCCATTTGTCATCTACATCTTGTAACCAACTCAAAAATAATCTACCATTATATCTACTCCTTGCATTTCTATCTTTTTCTTCTTGTTCTGGTGTAATAACATTATATACTTCTTCATCTTTTAATATGGTACAAACAGAAAAAGGAAGGGATTGATTGGCCAAAGCTCTAGCAGCTCTACCATGTACTCTAAGAATTTCCTGTTCTACTGATAAAACTAGCTTTTCTTTTTCAACAACATGTTGCATTCTAAGACGATATCTTTCTTTTTCTTGTTCAATATACAAATCTTTCATAGCGCCTTGCAATCCAACCGGAGGATTAACGTTTGGTTCTTTATTTGCATTTCCAGCTAATACGTATGTACAACGATTCATTAAATAATCTTTGAAACCCTGAGGTGGTTTTGGTTGAACTGGAAAAAGACCTTTTCTTCTTCGTTCGATCTAAAAGAATAAAAATAATGCAAATACTTTACACAGAAATTTCAACATTTTTTAAATAAATTTCAGTATATATTAAAAACAGTAATATAAACCTGTTTTCTAATATTTAAAAACAATTGATAACAATTAGTAATCGGTTGATCATGTGGATGAACTTCTGGACCTGTATTTGTTGCTTCAGATGCTTCATTAGAAGCATTAGTAGCAGCTTGTTGTGCTTCTTTATTAGGTTTCATTTTTCTTTTCCTAGGATGAAGTTCAACAGGTGGTGCCGGGGTGCCTATATTTGCTATCGTGGATGAGGTAGTTGTAGAAGCATTTTCAGAATTCTCAGCTCCGCTATCTTTTTGACATTTTCCACCAGTTTCGGTATTTTTTTCTGATTTTTCTGTCATAATATTTGTTTTTGAAGTAATACCACTGTTTGAAATTTCTGTCGATGTATTTTTGTTTGATTCAGAATTAGTAGTCTCAGGTGTTGGTGAATGATGCCTTTGCTGTGGTGATGAATTATTGGAACGATCTGTCGAAGATACTGGTAGTGGAGATGAGTTTGAATAATTTCCATTTCCTGTAGAAGAAGAGTTTTCTTTCAAGGTCATTGACCCATTATTGCCATTACCAGATCTATGTGAACTTCTGAGCACTCTTTGATGATGCGTTGATCTTTCTTCTCCGTGCAAAGCACCGCTGAAATCTTTCTTATCTTCATTTTTAGTACTATTTCCACTTTCTGTAGGACTTGTTGTTCCACTAGTTGATTGATTCTGATCTTTATCCGTTGAATCATTACTATTAGAACTGGCAACTACATAAGGCAATTGATGACTCCTATTAGATGTGCTCTTTCCGTTTCTGTTACCTTGTTCTTGTTCAGACGTCGTACTTTGTGGAATAACTATTTTTAAAGGTGGTACTTTAGGAGCTGAATTGGAATCTGATCCTTTCGATCGATCATCTTCGCCATCAGATTCTGGAGGTGCTGGTGTAGTTGTTTTAGAATTAGTTGTCGAACCAGAAGGATTTGATGGTTTTGGACTACTTGCCATTGAAGAACTTGGACTTTTTCTGTCTGTACTAATTGAGGTTGTATTTTGATTATTTTTACTTGAACTTGTTCCAGATCCTTGTTTACCTGATTTTGTACACTGTGAAAAAAACAAAATTTCAAAATTTATTTTTACTTATTATTAATTGCAAAATTTTCTAAATAAATAATTCAATCTATTTGTTATTTTAACAGAAAAAAGTTTTATTTTACTAATAGTTAAAATGATTTTTAAAATAAATTAACAATTACTCTATATAATTATTTATCTTGTACTATTAATAATAACCTCATATAATAATTAATAATAAACAAACCTTTTCCACAGTATTAGTAGTATTTCTACTAGTACTTTGTCTGCCTGTGGTAGTGCTTTTTAAATTTTCTTTTATAGGCTCGGAATCTTTTCGTTTTTTTCGACGATTCTCTTCATCCTGTTCTTCTGTATTGTCGTTTTCAAATGCACGCTTAGATGAAGGCGATGCTGAAACCGCAGGAGCATCATCGGTAGTAATCGATACGGTTGTTGTTTCACCGGAAGATGTTGCACTATTAGCGGTAGACACGTTGTTACCACCATTCTGTCCTCCTTGATTGCCAACAGACTTGCTACCATCTTTATCTTTCTCGGGATTAGGGTTTGGTGATGAGCTTGCACCTCTAACTGGTGTGGGTTCTTTCGAACTTTTGAATTCATACACGTCGCTACTATCACTAGTAGACGATGTGTTTCCAGAGGTACTGGAACCCGAGACGGCATTCACGGTTCCTGATGAGACGTTTGATGACGTCTTCGATGAGGTTTCCATTTGACCTTGATTCTACAAATATTATTTATTTATTTAAATAAAAATATAAAATTTTTACAAGTGAAAATGATGCAATGCATGAATCATATATATTCGTTATCATCATTAAAAGCAATGTAAAATATAATTTTCTTTTCCTCGTTAGAATTTTTTTACGTTATCATATATTACTTGTTAGCGAACTTCGCAATACGTAACACTTATCATCATACTTTGTAAATGACCTTAGTCCTTTTTGCTAATCGCATTGTATTTTTTAAATCTATATTTAAACGAATAATAAATAAACTAATAAAACGAATATTTAATATTTTTTACAAATTGTTATCGTATATAAGTTAAAAATCTTTATTAATATATTTATTAAAACATCTATCAATAATCAATATTTTCGATTTTCGAAAAAATTGAAAGTTAATACTATTCATAAAAATCAAAATCTATTATCGATGAACTCGTTTTATGAAAAATTAATTAAATAAATATATATAATTAGAGATATATGTATAAATATACATAAATAACACATTTACATATACCTGTGCGTTCATGCCGCCCTGACGGGAGTTAGCAGCACCCCCTCCTTTTTTTTCATCCCTCGCTCCTCTCACCTGGTTGAGCCGAAGCGTCACCCTCGGCGAGCTTCCAGACTGCCCGGTTCCCGATCTATCGACTGTGAAGAACAAAATGTCGGTTAATTGCAAGAACAACAACGAAATATTGGGGGAATGAGTTTTTACGAAGCCAGTATATACTCCTCCGGTATCGAGATAGAGCATAGAGGACGGTTAAAGGAATGAAGGAGAGAGGGAGATGGCGGATACAGAGAGAGAAGGAAATGAAAGATATGTGGGGAAAGGGGGATGGGCATTCGAAAAGAAAAGAACAAGGACGGTAAGAGATTTAGAGAGGAATGAGTCGCTGCTTGCGATCATCGAGAGTATGGCTGTTAATCACAGGGACCCCCAGGAGAACAAGTTTCTCGAGAGGAATGGGGAGGAGGGAGGGGGAAGCAAGAGAGCTTCCCGATCCGCGATCGATTCATTAGTGGCCTTTTACCGGACGATCGCGTTACAGGAAGGCATGCCATTAAACTCTTTATTCGAGTCGCTGCGGTACACTGCATGATCAGTATAAGTGGAGCTTAACGTCCAATGTGATCAAATGTTTTAGCAAATACATTTTAAATTTTTGTCATGCTATCGTATATATTTTTTTCAATTATGATTATTGAGGAATTTTATTTTTATACGCATGTATACATGTATATACATATACACATATTAATTTTTATAACTAACGATCATTTGTGGCAACATAATTTCATTAAAGATTCGATAAGACGAATGAATGCAATGCTTCGATTAAAAGATAAATGTAAATAGAATATTAAAATTATGGTATACGTGACAAGCGTATATTCATTAAGTGTATGAAAAGATTTATATACATATATATATATATATATATATATATATATACAGCAAAATATTACATTCATCGGTGTAATCGTTTAGTGTATTTTAACCGGGCGCCCGAGAGAGATTCGCGGGATCCGAGTGGGAAAACGGATTTCACGGCGAAGCAATAACGTGAGGCTTGTCCCGATGATTTCACGGAACGCTTGTTTCGAGAGATACTAGGATACCGTGTAATGTTGAAAGCGAGGCTGACGCAAGCACTGCTCTCGATCAATATATAATTGAATCTACGAGTTAACACAATGTCACGTATATAATTTCAGAATTCAAACCAATACGTGTGTCGAAATGCGC